TTTCGGGGTTAATACCTCCATACGTTAAAACATACAGCACAATATAAATATTTGGTATGACTCTGATAGTGATTAATATATGGGATGAATAACTAGAATGGACTTCTTGCTTCCTCTCTCCCTCCGCTTTTCCTATGAGACATGCACATGTGGGAAAGGAACCCCTTAAAGACAGACCACCACACTAGTTCAGGGAATAAGTAGGCTGGGGAAAAGGCCCATAGCACATGAGGGCTACAGTGTGGTGGGGAGCTACCCAATAGGTGTAGCCAGCCACTACCCCTAGGAAAGAGTTCCACCACTATTTATGAACAGATCACCATAAACCCAAAGAGTTTAAACTGACCCAAAAATGTCCTCTTATATCCTCTAATTTGGCTGACTCTTTGCTCCCCCTCCCTGCCTCTCTATTTCATTTCCTCTTCCCTGCTTACGCACAACTACTTACCCCACCACTGAGTCTGATATGTCATCATTATACCTTGCCTGCAACTATTCTTTTTTGTATTTTGCTTTCTAGTGAGTACTAGCCTTATAGAGCCAGCCTCTTTCCTGAAGGCACGTAGCATTTTACCTCTGACTTGACAAACACTGATCTGAACATTTCCTACCATTCCTACCACTGGTTGGGCCACACTCTCATTGGTAATGGCAAGGAGCACAGTCTAGACCAGGCACCAGGCAGCTCCTGACCTTCTAAGCACAGTGCAACTCACACTTGATACAGTAGGTTGAGTCAATACAGTGATTAAAACACAAGTGCCCTTTCTACACTGGTCCCTGTATCAGTGTGAGCACGAGTGCTGAATCAGAGATAGCAATCACATAAAAGTTTATGGGGAAATTCTACTGCAGGCACAGCCTGTCCATGATGCATTTGGTGATTGACCCAGATGAATGGTCTGCATGAAAAGATACAGCACTGTACCCTAAAAGAGTAAAACTAAAATGGTGCCCACCCTCCCTGGCTCTCTCTAGGGCATGAGCAGCAGTTGTCCCCATGTGAAGAAGGTAAGTACTGCATCTTTAAGGTCTCAGCAGTGAGGTAGAGGAGAGGAACAGATTGTCAGTGTTTATACCTTTCTTCTTTGTTGAATTTGGGATTGGCTTCAGAGATATCCAGGCTTTTACTGAACATTGTTTTACTATGGCAGGAACAAAGTGAGAAAACAGAGTTACTAATGTGGACATTCATCAATGAGAGTCACCTGAAGCAGTCCCTGACTCCCAGGCCTCCCAACCCACCCTTTCTTTTGTAAGCACAGCTCCAGAACACCTTTTCTGTCCGCTCCTGATCGCTGGGCCAACCCTGCATGGTCCTGACCATTTCTTGAACATCTCATTGACTTTAACAAGAACTGAGGCCTTAAGCACATGGCAGGATCAGACCCCCACAGAATAAGTATTCTCTAGCACTAAAGGCTACCAGCGCATGTGGTCTGTGACCTCCCCAGTGTGCGTGTGCACACACACATGTGCGCACACACACACACATCCTCTTTGTTGGACTAAGGACCTCAGGTGGAGTTCACTTGCTTATATTTCCTAGGGGAGATGGACAATGCCCGAATGTGAAAATAGCAAAACTTTCTTTACCCCAGCTGGGAATCTGAAAGCCTTTCCTAGAAGTCATTAACACGAAGCATAGTCTGGGCAAAGATTCAAAACAGCATGCAGGTCTACTTAAAGAGAAAGGGCTCTCTTATTTTTGCCTCTTCGTAGCTCACCCCTGCCAGTGCCAATCCCATTCCTCTCTCCAACAAGACATGTTCTGCTTCTCAAACTTAGGTCCTGATTCATGAAGCTGAGAAGCAGGATTCCACGCACCTCTGTATCATGGGTAAATCTGCTCTACAAAATACTGTCTTCCAACACTGGCAGTAGTGTTGGAAGACAATGTTTCTACCACTAGTTTTGGTGGAAACTATCAACTTTGGTAACTCACAAAAAAAAAAGAATGGAAGGGAAATGAATAATCAATGGAGCCCTCATAGGAAGTTTGATGGATTCTTCCCACCTCAGGACCCTGCAGCTGCAAACTCTTGGCAATCTCAGCAGAGATTCTAGCTGCTGAACTAGTGGAAGATGCCATCTCTCCAGTGCCAAACCAGCTGTGCAAAACCAGCTGTGCAAAACCAGCTAGCTTTAAACAGCTCCATGTGCTAGCCTCTCTTGCCAAACATCTCTAGGAAATATCATGAAACCTAACTGGTGGGGGAGGCAAGAACATATGTAGTGGAGAAGCTCAGGGCTACCCAATATACTTGAGCTGGCATGCAGCATGTTGAGCAACAATCAACCCAACCTCATTACCAGATGTAGATGGAGTTGGTGTTGTGTCTCTTTAGTGGGCATTTACTGTCAGAGACACAGTGGAAAGGACTTGGAGAGGTCAAAACAAATGTTTCAAGGAAGTGGAGGGCCAGCTAGAGGATAAGCTGGAAGCCACTTGTTGCACAGGACTCCACTCTATCCACTATTCCTTAGTCCACTAAGTTGGACTTTTCTTAAGAGCAGAAAGCCCCATCCCAGCCTGTTGCATTCAAGTTCTCTATTCCAAGCTTTAATGGCTTCTGCAGCAGGACATAAAAGCCGTATTTTCAAAATGAGAACTTCCTGGGACCTTGAGCTGGATGAAAGATGTGCAGTTCACCATACAGACACATACAACTGGAGGTTATCATACACATCCCCTATCTGCAAATAAGCAACTGTTCACTACAGGGAGAGCTGGGAGTAGGATTAAAACACAACTCACAAGGAGAGCAGTGAAAGGACCGTTTCTGCTAGCTTGTGAAGGAAGCAGTGGCTAGAGATTTTCTAATGATTATATAGTCTCTAATTTCTAACAAAGGAAACTGTCTCCTGTTCCCTCTCTCCACCTTCCTAGTACTGTACCACCCTCTGGCATGAAGTCATGATTATCCACCCTCCTAGATTGTGAGTGTCATTTTCCAGGACAGCATCACTCTCTGAAAGTCACAGACCTAAAATGCAATGCTGCAAAATCCACTCTCAGTGGGTCACTTGCTGCTGAATACTACAGATCTAGCCTTGAAAAGCCTGACCCTTGGAGCAAGGCACTCGTTGCTTTGTTGCTGACTGTCCTGACAGATGGTGTCCCAACAGCAGTGCCTTATCCCCAGACACTCCCCATGCGGTGGCATTTGTTAATGAAGCCAGTTCATGTTATAAATGATCATGCTGCCAGCAACGCATGCTGTGCCATTGTCATCTGTGGATGCAGACTGTGTATGAGTAATGAAAGCTCAAGTCTGAAATCTAATAGCACCTTCCTTTTACCCCTTCCAAAACAAGCACCACTGAGCTGGGTCTCATTCCTCATAATGTCAGTGTGTCCATGTTCCCTGCCCTTGATCCAAACTGTACATCCCACTTCAGCTGACACTGTTTGGCACACATGCCCCCAGTGTAACCCTCTTGATTGTCCCTGATGCTCCCTTTGGCATGTGTCCCATCTCCCTTTAACCTAGAGTCATCCCTCACTGACATAAAGCCAAGGCTTTCCTCTCTTCTTTCTCTGGGATTGCCTGAGACATTCTCTTTGCATCCTTTGCAGCTGACCAGCTGCTACTGCAACTTTTTTTTTCATTTGCAGGGCTGAATGGGACATTCAAAAAAAATAAAGCACTCAGCGTAACAAGAGACATAGATAGCTCTGTCTGGTTCAGCTTCCTGGCAGCTTGCTATGGAATAACAAGGCAAAGGTGAGAGGTGGGAGGGAGCGTTCCAGCTATCAGAACTCATCAGGATCAAAACAGGAAGCTCTAGGCTGGCTGAACAACTTGCTCAGTTGGTCGGTGTCACCAGGCTATTCCTGTTTGTTTCACCTAGTTAAATGCTCTCCACAAGCCAATGCAGTTACCTCTAACTCAAACTGTCTACTTCCTATTGTCCACATGTTGCGCCTCATCCCTTACAAACAAACCTCCTCAGTAGCATGACTGCATACTACAGGAGCAGTAGAGAGAGAATAGCATTTGATTTGTGTGTTGCCATAAATGCTCAGTCTTGGTCTCCATCTTACATCCTTTGATCTCGATGGCCTCTGTGAAATCACCATTTCCTCTACATACTTTACAAATAACAAAGAACATTTTTGACTAATTGGCATTCATCCTGTCCTAAACAGGGGAACTTTTTAGATACTGCATCTCAAAGATACCTGGCCAAGGACTCTGTGAATAAGTCCTACCGGGTCTTGGGAAATTGTTCTCCTCACCCTAGCAAATACTGGCACAGCTATCTAGCAAGTCAGAGGTAGTTCTAAGGACCCCTATACTTCTTTATTTCATGCTCTTCACCCATCCATCAGACAACACAAGCATTTCTAGAAGTAGACGACTTTTCCCAGATGATCTAAACAGCTGAGGGATAAGTCCATGGCACAAAATGTCAAATTACAACATAAAGCACTGACCATTTTCATGTGTGACTAGTGTTTATTAATAAAAAGTGATGTACCTCTGTGTCTTTCCCAATGCACACATCTTCCTTCTGCCTATCATTAATGCGGCCCTGGTGTAATGACTGTGGAAGCCTCATCCATGAGACATTACAACTAGAAGACCCCAAACATGCATGTTACAGGGACCCCATTTCCCCTACAGCTCCCTTAACACCACATGGCGGCATTTTCCCTCCATCTGAGAGATCTAGAATCATACTTGCCCACTGTCCTCAAAACATGTGGTAAACAATAAATGACAGAGAAAGCTGGATACCACTTGTATCTGTCTGGGATCCTGAGTGAAAAGCAGGAAAAGACAGGACCCCTCCAGCTACAGGAAGAATTTCTACTGCTACGTGAGTAACCATGGCACTGGTGGTTAACTACCTCTTGAGTGTTGTTGGGTGTTGCTGTGATTGTTGATGTGGACAGAAAAGCTTCTGCAATTCCTCTGTGTATAGGGGACATAGGGGAGTTAAGGGAGGCAATAGGACAGGGTTCATCACTCCTAGCTATGGGGACCACCTACCTCTGTCCATGTTGTGCCATTTCAATAGCTCTGCGAGCTGGGACTGGGGAGCCGCCATCTGTCACACTGAGAACCTCCATCGACTTCCTCTCTGGCCGCCGCTTCCCATGTCTGTTCAGCATCGGGGAGTCCACACGTTTCCTGGGGGGATCTTTATGAAGAAAGAATGCAGTCAGCTAGATTTGACTGTGACCTGCAGCACATGTCAGCCTGGCAAAATCCAACACTCCCCTTGAGCAATCTACTCTCACATGTCTGCAATATCCTCACTACTCTGTGCTTTAAGCACATGGAATGGTGCATGATTTTAGTATGCGCTAGTAAAGAAAGTTCAAGCCTTCCAGGAGCCCTGTGTATATGCTCTGGTTGCTATTGCATGCTAAAGCCTTTACTGCTGTAATTACCTGGGCCAGCTAAAATTATACCTTAACTTTGCTGTGTAACGTGCCCTCTTGATGCTTCTTTATTAATGTATGGAAAAGGCCTAAAACACTCTTTCATGTATGGAAAAGGCCTAACAAACTCTTTCAAAAATAAAATTTAAGATTCCCCTCATCTTGTCCCATTAGACGTGTAAGTCTTGTTTATTCTAGATGATAACTGGAGAGGTCATGAAATGCTTCTCTCTGGGCATGTCTACATGTGCAATTAATGTGACTCAGTATACTCCGGCTCAATTTGAGCAGGAGTAAACTAATTCCAACGTCACCATCTACATGTGCATTTAAGCACAGTAATTTACTGCACTGCTGGATACCACTTGTATCTGACAAGACTATCTGGCAGTAAATTAATCTACTATATCCTAATTGCCATGTATGTTTAGAAGGTGACACTTCACTGTGCAGCAAATTAGTCTGCTGTGCAGTAAAGTGTAGACGTGTAGGTTCTATTACTATAGTAACTGAGTCTTCACACAATATTTCTGCAAGGTAAAGAGGTGCTATTATCTTTATTTTACAAAAGGAAAAACAGAGTACTAAGGGCTGGATTTTTAAAGGCTTTTGGGCTCCTAATGATACATACAAAGGCCTAGTGAGTTTTTCAAAAGGACCTAAATCCCACTGACATCAGCATCTTTAGGTACCTGAATACCTTTAAGAATTTGCCTTTAGATGATCTGTCAGAGCACACAGGAAATCCATAGTGGAAAGAGAGCTGCAGTCAGGTCTACTGAACTGCAGACTAGTGGCCTCTACCATTGGACCATCCCTCTGCTGATGGTATCACATCAGCAAAAAGAAGGACAGCTGAAGAAAGGGGCAGCAATTTTCTCAATGTTAGGCTATTTAAAGCCCCTTGTAATGGGCACCTTCGAGAAAGGGCATCTTTTTTCTGAGCGCCACAATATATTTTTGCTGACAATAGTGATATTCCTATTCTTTCTGCTACTTCATTCTTCCCTTGTGCTCCTACCCACTTGTTTCACCTCTCTATTATGTCTGGTCTCTTAGGCTACTGACAGACATTAAAAAGAAGGGATGATGGGATCTGATGTGCTATTGTGGGATTCAGCTTCAGATCCCATCATGCCACATTGCCAGTGCAGGGGGAGCCTGGGATCATCATCCTGGGCTCTCCTTGCACCAGCAATTTTTGCTCTTGTGGCTGGGAGTCCCCTCACTTGGTCAGAGCTCCCAGCTCTGGGGGAGAAGTGGGGGGACAGGACCATGCACTTCCATGGCTGAAAGCTCTTATCAGCTGACAGCTCTAATTAGCTGTCTAATTAGCTACTGGGAGCTCTGATCACTGATGGGGATCCCAGCTGTGGGGGTGCATGGTGTCCCCCTCTGATCAATGACTGGAGCACTCAGCTATGGCAGGAGGAGGCGGGGACACCCTGCACTTCTGTAGCTGGGAGCTCCATCAACTGATCAGGGCTCCCAGTCAGAGAAGCTCATTGTGTTCCCCAAGCTGGGAACCTCAATCAGCTGACCAGTGCTCCCAGCTTCCACAGTACATGGGAGTATGGTCTGGAGGCCAGAAGCACTGTCCACACCTTCAGTTAAAGACATGAAAGAAACTAGCAACAAAGTTATTACACATATTTAGTGTAATAACATGGTTGCTTATTCTTGGTTTTATCACATTGTTAATTGAATGAACACGTGGTCAGGCCACTACTTATGATGTAACTCAGGGGTCAGCAACCCCCGGCACGTGTGCCAAGCATGGTACATGAGGCCATTTTGCTTGGCACACCACGGCCAGCCCCGACTCTGGGTAGCTGCCAGTGACGGAGCCCAGGCTGCTCCCAGCAGGGCTTGCAGCATCCCAGCTGCCTGCTGGGAGCAGCCCGGGCTCCTGGCTGGCAGCAGCTCCCCAGAGCCGGGGCCAGCTGCAGCCGGGAGGCTGCAAACAGCTGCACCAGGCTCCAGAGCCCCGGCATCAGCTCTGTACTGGTGCGTGCATGCGTGCCTTGGAGCAGGTGGTGGGGAAGGGGCCTGGGGCAGCGCAACCTCGGTCTCTCCCCCGCTCCCAGCACAGAGCTGGTGACTGGGCTCCGGAGCCCGGCACAGCTGCTTGCAGCCTTCCGGCCAAACCCCGAAAAAGTTCTTTTCAAACTTTTTTTCATATGTAACAAAAGAAGCAGAAAATACTAGCAGGATTACATTACGGACCTCCACATCAGAAGAAATATATTGTGTGTGTAGTGTTAAGGGAAATCAAAGCAGCAGCCAAATCCAATAATGCAGTAATAATGGATGACTTCAAGTGCAGGCATATAAAATGGTCAAATGTCACATCAGGAAAAGGTTCAGGGACATAACTTCTTGACCCTTTAAATGACTGCTGCTTCAAACAGCTAACATGAGATGAGAGGCTGTTCTGAACTTAGTCCTGTGTAACACACAGCTGCTGCGTCAAGTCGTAACTGGAGCGGAGTCACTGTGTGCATCTACACGTGCCCAGGACTGTGTACTGCGCAGTCCCGGCAGCACACAGTTATTTTTAGACTCAATGTTGCCGTAGTGATGAGCTACGGCGACATAGCTCATTGCTATGGTGACGTAACATCAGCGTTGTGGTTTGTGCCTGCTGACACCATGTTGCCATAGCGACAAGCAATGTCACTGTAACGTCGCTACAGTGACTTATCGTCTTGTGTAGATGCGCCCATTGAGTAATAGTGACCAGAAGATAATTAAGTTTGATGTCCTCAGTAGGGGGTTGGTACCGGAGGCTCTTATGGGGACACCAAACTATAGAAAGGGGGATTTAAAACTGAGAGTTAGTTAGAAAGAATCGAAGGTCAAAAGGGAGGAAATGAAAACCTTAAGAGTCAGCACCAAAATTACTTAGGCCTGGAAACAAGAGTCCTGCTAGGTATGAAATAACCCTGCAGAAAAAGGAAGTCAGAAGAGAAGGAAAATCACTGTATGATTAAATGGCAAGGGTGAAGGGGGTGATTTGAACCAAACTGGATCAAAACAGAAGGCATCAGAGAATGGAAATCCAGCTGGAGTGACACTTAAAAAATGGAGCATTAAGTAGTGCAAGTTAAATGCAATCTGGGCATTAGAAATGAGCTCTGGAGGATGTTGAAGCACAATTAGCCAATGACAGAAACATTAGTAACGTGGCATTTTACAAGTTGGTAAGGAGGAAACTTGTGAGAGGATGAATGGTAGGTCAGCCTAGGCTTACAGCTTGCACCCAGTCTTCCTAAACTCTATTACACAAAGAAAGAGTGAGCGCTCAGTACATGACTGTGTAATTTTGTTTGGCAAAGCTCAGGCAACATGCATCTCTGAGGAATGCAGTCTCTTAAAGCAACTATTATTAAATCCATTACCATTTCCCTGCTCTTCTATCATTACGCAAGGCCATTGCTAATGGCTAATGATGAGATATTCATCAGAAGCATGATTGCTCTTAATTAAACCTTGCCCCATGTTCCCAGAGATATGGCTGGGAGCAGAGGAGGTAGAAACCTCCAGTGGGAAAGGAAGTACAACTTACTAACACTTGAATAATAATGCTCAGGGATTCTAAAATGTGCTGACGTGGCACAATGATATCTTCAGCCCAGAGTTAATCTAACCCTACTGGGGAACACTTTCTTTCCCTGTGCGGAAGATTCCAGCACAGGTGAACAATAGTTTGAATCAGCACATGAAAATAATTTGGGATATGGGAGGAGAGAGAGATGATATATCTGGGGCATGGCTTTGCATTCACTTGTGCATATGAAGCTGAAGATTCAGCTACTACAGTTAGAGTTTTTGACAGTAAAAGCATTTGAGTTGCAAAATTATCTGTCAAAGATACCTGATGTATTAGATATCTTTGATCATGTGATCTGCACTCTGCCCACTAACCCATTCCACTGGGGTCACTGCTAGCATTGTCTCAATTTTAACAACTAAGCTGTCAGAAAAGCATTACCTATTCTCCTCCAAATACAAGATTTTATTTTTGCAATATTAGACATGCCAGTGGCCCAGAATGCGAGTCCTGGAGCAGCAGCAGGTGTAAAGTTCAACATTTTATGTCCCTGAAGGGCAGAGGAGACTCCAGACTTGCCAATGAAACAGAAAGCAGGGCTCATCTTTTCAGTTTGTTTTTGCGCGGTGAATAACAGTGACGAATAACAGTGTCCTGGTTTATAGCTAATTTTGCAGGAGACTTACAGTGTTACAGCGATACATGACTTAAAAAAATTGGTATTTTATAAAACTGTCCAAAACTTTCTCAACTAGCTTGAATGTACGATAGTAAGGTGTGTAGGAGAAACATTTGGGTGCCACTACATATATGCGTGTTTGTCTATATATCTACCTATGCAACAATGCCTACTTGCCAATGACACCTATTTTATTTTTCACAGAAATAAATAGAGGAAAAAATTAGGATTAATTTTTCTCCCCCTTTTTTCCCAACCTTTTATACACCTGGTTGAAATTTAAGATATTTTAAGATTTTCACATCTGTTATGACATTTCAAGTTTTGCTGATGCATAAAAAAAATTGTCGGTTTTGTAATCTTCCCAATTTCATCCCTGGCTATGTAGCTAAGAGTAAGCTTCCATTTTTTAAAGATTTTTACTCGTCTTACCTTCTTTTAATTTTTATATTTTTTTCCTGATATCAATCGATGTAATTTCCTCCGAAGGCTTATATGCTGCAAAGACTTAGGTACTTGTTTAGCTGTAGATACGCAGGCAATCCAATGACTTCACTAAAAATACTTGCATATGTAAAACTCACTGTGATTGTGCCCTTGAGCCTTTGCAAGACTGGGGTCTAAGAGACCCATTAAAGAGTGAAAAACGTATGTCTTACTGATTATCTCCTGGTCCTGCTGTGTTTGACCTTGAACAGTGGAGATGGCCAGACTTAGTTATTAAGGTTACCATGCTGGCAGCCCTGGGGCTGGTATAACACCAGTGTAAGAGATCCTTAGTGTAACTGAGAGCCTTTAGGGTTTGTACAGCAGCTGCTGGAGCTGTACAGAACCTCAGCGCTGTCATTTTCCATTTCAGTGGGGGGAACGAGGGGCGGGTGGGAGGCAGAATGCCAAAGGGCGGACAGTGCTAGGAAGGATGGACTGAAACATGTCAAAGGTGCCTGGAGTCAACTTTAAAGTACCTATTTCATTCCTGGGGGGCAGGTCCTCATCCTCATGACTGGGATACCTCTCTTTACGATCCAGGAGAAGAAAATAAATCATTTTCTCTTGGTTTTCTCTGAAAGAAAAAGAAACAAAGGAAGGATGCTTCAAATTTGTTGCAGGCAAAATAGGAAAAAAAATGCTGTAACCCCAAAGCTAATGATCTATCTCATGCTGATCACCACAGCATAAGAGTGCTTGTAGTGGATCTTATCCTCACAAAATCCTTGTGAGAAAAGGAGGCATTATCTCTTTGTCCCTTCATGGCACAGGGTAGACTGAATGACTTGGTCACTCAGGTGCCTATCTGAGCCAAGGTGGTCCCCTGGCTTCCAGTCTGCTGCCTTGGGCCTGCCAGACCCTTGGAAAAGCTGTCAAGACTCAGAGCTTGGGAGACTAAAACCCTTTATTTACTCATGACTGCAGACACAGCATATTGGGTTTCTGGATCCAGCATATCCTGGATCAATATCTTCCAGGGCAGGGAGGGATCAAATATTTACCCATGAATGCAGACAGCATAATATGCTGTAGACACCCCCTGCTGCCCTGATAACATTTGCCAATCCTCACTTAGAAGCAAGACAGAGAATTCATCACTCCTTGGACTTTCAGCCTCTGAGCTCTAGAGTACAGAGGGTGCCAGATGATGGTAATTTATGCGATGGGGAAGACCTATGCTCTAAAAAGTGTGCAGAGACCTCATCCTCCACCTATTTCTCCCTCCTCATTATTCATTTCCAAATGAACACTGGAAACTGGAACTGATTGTTGGTCTCTACTTATATGGGACAGGGTCTTACCACTGATTTCAAGTGGCAGGAGTGGGTAACCCATTATTTCTTTTTTTTTTTTTTTTTAGTTACATAACTTTATTTTTAAGTAGAAGAAGAAATCAACTGTTGTTCAATCAGGGCAGAAACTGTGGATGGTTCATACTTCCAGTCGCGTGGCAGTGCTCTCTTGGTCTTGTAGTGGTGATATAGCTTGTGAATTCTGCTCTCAGTCAGAATCAGATGGAATTTGGTCATCCATTTCTAACCCCATGAGCATACAAACCCTCAGACACCAACCAGTGTCACAGCTCGGTGAGCACTTACTCTTCTGACAACAAGTCCTGTAAGAGTTTATTTCGGTCACGGAAGCAGCCTAATGAGTGCATGCTATCTAACACATCTGGATCAATATCTTCCAGGGAAGGGAGAGATCGAATCTGGACCTTTCGAGGAATTGGTTGCTCTGGCTCTGGCTCGTTCTTACCCCCTCTGCAAGTGAGATGAAAGAAGAAGTGGTAGTGGGGAAAGAGAAGAATTAAATTACAAACATACCCATTGCTTTGAGACATGCTGTGCAGCAAGAGTGTCAGAACCTGCTAAGAGGCTTGCCTTTGCAAAACAGATAAGTATTTTCTTCAGGCCAAATTCGGTGGGAGCTGAGAGCAATTAGCATCATCCTGGATTGCCCCTTAATGAGAAACTTCCATGCTTGGTCAGAAATTCAGTCAGATTCTCATCCAGCAATAGACCCAATAACCTACCTGCTGTTCAATGCTCTAATGCTGTAAACTTATAAATCATTTCAGGATTCTAGAGATGCTGCCTCACAGACAGATCACGCCTTGGGCTATGCAGCTACAATGGACATTTGAATAATCATCTCAGACTATCAACTATGAACACGCTGACACCACACTCTGCTAATTATAACAGAAAGGGGCTTCTGAGCAGTTTACATACAAAGAGCTTGAACTTATGAAAGGTGTCACAGGTTTGGGGTGCCCAATGTGAAGTACCTTACAAGGGTCAGATTTTAGGAGAAGATGACTTTGGAAAAGAAGTCCCCTAATTTGACTGCCTAGATATGCACTTAGCTGCCCCTCTTCAGACATCCAACTTTGAAAATTCTGACCTGGGTATCTTGCCCAAGGTCACATACCGAGTCTGTAGCAGGGCTGGGAGTACAAAACCAATCAGCAGTAGAAGCACATTATTTTTTTAAAGGTGGTTAGCACAAACTGCCTGCATAATTATCTCATTTCATTCACTGAAAGCAAGAAATATTGATTAGTCATTACAATGAAAAACTCTGGCGATAAATAACATGTCAAGATTTCAGTCTAGATATACCGGTAGCAGGCTGAATAATATAAAGTACAAAGCACACCAAATATCCTTCAAGTTCATTCACTGGGACCCAAACCCTGTAGCCTGCACCACACTCAAACAGTAGGCTTCTTGGCAGGAGATGGGTAGGCAACAACCTTGAACCATCCCAGGAGATGGTTTGGATGCCTCAGGATGGATTGGCAGTGACTGGACAACTGTAGCTTCTAGATGTGTGACTCCCCTATCCCTTTACACCGCATGAGGGCCTGGAAGTTGCAGCTTGACTAATGGCACCAGAATCCTGAGTCTGAAGATACTGGCCCCCTTGCTTGTCTGTGGTAACACCCCTCACTTATTAAAATGGAACTCTATCCCAGAAATCAGCTACTATTCAGTGGGAGTAAAGGTTATTAAACCTACAGTAGTCATGGATAAGCTCTGATGCCGGTCCCACAGTCAATGGGTGCTTTGACACTGATTTCAAAGGCTGTATGATCGTGTCTGATGTCCCATGGTCACCCCTTGTCGGTTTGGGCTCTTAGGTGAGTGTGGCTTGTAGCCTTTATACGTGAAATTCATTATTGTCAGGTGTTGGCTGAGTTGAACATCATCATTACATGGTGAGCAGGTGACCTCAGAGTTATTAACATTATTATTATTTTTTTTTTATGAATGTTTTTGAAAATCCTCTGAGCCTTCGTGGCTCTCCTTTTAGGACCCCTGTTCTGAGACAGTGCAGCACCATGACACTTGCTTTACATCAGCAATGGACTGTTTCTAAAGAGTATTGCTTGCTATCATACAACAAAATGGGCTCTTTTTTTGCACCTCACATTCAAATGCCCTCAGTCACCATCAGGCTACACATGTATACTCAGACTTTCGCACTTCTTCATCAAGTACAAGGGAAGGCTTAAAAAAAAAAAATCAATCACCACCAGCAAGGCACTTGTTGCTCCAGGTAATGAAAATCACCAGCTCTGTGCTACAACTGGCATGACTGTATTGCCTGTTCTACTCCACGTCTGAAACAAACTGCAGATTGCTTGCATTTCAGCCTACAGGCACATCAAGCAACATCAGTCGATGAATACTGCAGAGCATATATGAGAGTGCCTTAAGAACAAGGCCTTCTTTGTAAATGACGCTGCCTGCAATGGACTTGATACCTGCGTATGTTGGGTTTCTTAAACCTTGTCATGAACCTCCAGCATGAACCTCACTGATGCCCACAATAAGTACCTCAATTCCCAGCAGCATGCATAAAATCAGAACTAGTACCATTATTTTCCCAATGGTTTAGTACAGTTGGGGTCAACCTTCTTGGCAGACATACCACAAATTAAGCCCCATGCCCTCCTGAGTGCCACTCCAATCCCCGTCTACATGATTTTTTGCCTCCTGTGCCCTGCCTAATCTGCTGTTCTGCTTTCTGCTCCATTCCCTACTGGCCACTGTGCTGCCTGTCCCCTCCCTGATCTGCTGTGTGCCATGCACACAGCCACTTCTAGTACATGTGCCACAGTTTTAGTAAATGTTGTGCCACCTCTAGCAGGGCACTGACCAACAAGTGTTAGAAGATTCTGCATCTCTGAGTTCACCATAATACTTCACTTCATTCAGCTACTTGTTTTATCAGTAAAGGCAAAAAGAACTGAGTTATGGCAAGTTATGTTCTGGGTCATCTTCCAGCATAAGGTTTAGTAGCATTGTGGAACATTTATTTCAGTTAAAAAAGGTCTAAAACCTATCCTTAAATTAGCTACCATATTAGCGTGTAGTGAATTGGAGTGCTGAGGCAGGTATAATCCTGTCCTGAGAGGATGGGTGAGGTGACCTCCCAAGGTCCCTTTCAGCCCTACTTTTCTATGATTGTATGACACAGTAATTTTTCTGGGGAAGTGCTTGTGCCTTGAGGTCTAAACTTTCATGGATTCTCTAAATCTCTCTCTGATTAGTCACAATTAAATCCTTCCCAGAGATTAGTACGACCCTAATTATCTATTTCAAGAGTTAAGTGAAATCACTTAATAAGTACTGAGTACAAATTCCAAGTCACTAATCTGCCATCTTATATGATCCAAGGTCATGAATAAAGGTTTTATGGGAAGTTGGATGACAGCTTTACATTAAAACAAGAACAGTAGAACCAAAAGGGCTTCCCCAAATTTTGCATGTAGCCTATCACCGACACTGCCTTTTGCTACTCTTTCCTTGTCAGCCTCAATATACCTGTGCAAAGCAGACAGAAAGCTATTAGAGATTTATACTCGGTTTTTACAAGGATAAACAACACTACATAGTGCTAAGAAGTGGGGAGTCGGGCCCTTCTTCAGAAAATAAGTTTAGCTCTCTTGTCTTCAAAGACAAAACCTCCATTTTGTAAACCGGGTGTAAAGTAACGCAGCGATATCTGCCTACATCTGCAAATGGTCTGAAAGAATAACTCATGGAGGTGTGAGCTGATCATTTAAAATATAATCACAATTTTGATTTTTAACATTTATTTCTCTCCTGATCACAGTGTGCAAATCAAAAGGAATGAGAAAGTCAATCAGCTGGTGTCGCCCCGTGGACAGCAGGCAAAAACTAAGTAGAATGACTGCATCACCAAGATCTGTGCTGTCCGTTGTGGGCAGCATTTAGGGCTGGGATTCCAGGGGATGTCTTCTTGTTTGTGATGTAAGACTTGGAAGGGTTTTACCAGGGGTTCTTTCTTTCTTTTTTATTTCTGTTTGCCCTGGCTCATCGGGAGATTTTTTTAAAAAAATCTCTACTATAAAATTCAAGGCTTTCTCTGGTATTGAAAGCTGCCACATTTCCTGGGTGTAGGTCTACCAGCACAGCACAGTGCAAACCAGTGCAGAGATATTCCCTACTTCTCAGCAGGGTTAATTGGCCTGGCCAGTGATTCATATTAATACAGCCATATTGGTTTGAGAGCCTAAGCTAATTTGTTCAGAACTAGTGTGTCCCCCCTTGATGGGACGCTATTACCGTTACAGGATAATAGAAAACAAACCAGGCAATCTTGTGAGGTGCTGAACGCCCTCCTTTCCCACTGAAATCACCGGAGGCCTAGGGAATGCCTCCGTCCAATAAAACCACAAGGAAAATGCACACATATGCCCCTGCCCCCAGGGGTTGTTTCCTGGTGAGGTTTAAAAGAAAAAACAATGGGTGAGGACAACATACACCTATTCCCAAAACTTCCTGAGTGCAGTGACAGAAAAGCTGTCAAAGCCTGACTTTCTGTGGCCCACATCCAAGTGCTACTAGGTGTATTGACCTCTCAGGGGCATGTGTCAAAGCATCATTTCCTTGTGTATCAGTGATAATTTTTAGTCTCACTGGGTTACCACCCACATAAACCAAAGAGACTATTTATCCACGGTTCATGAAGTGCTACCAGAGTTATACGAAGTGCAAAGCCACTTTACAAAAGCCACACAGCCTTCCCTTCACCCAAACCAGAGCAGAATTGCCTTTTCTTATAGACTTCATGTTCCATGACATGAGGCTGCTGCTGTCAGTCAAGCCACGGGACCATGCATACATCAACAGGTCATGAG